GAGTTACCTGAAAGACTGATTAAAATGCAGACGACTGGGCCCCAGCCCAGTTACTAATTCAGGTCTGGGGTGGGGCCCCGGATGTGCATTTCTAACAAGGTCCCTGGTGATGGGGATGCTCAAGACTCTGTCCCCAGTATGACAGTTTCAGCAGGACCCTCCAGATATCTCTTCCGCTGGGACCAATTTGCCCCAGACACCACTTGGCTATTGCCCTCTCTTCCTTCAAGTCTTTGCTCAGATCTTCCGGTCTCCGTGAGGCGCACCTTGACCATTCTATGCAATATTGCACATTGCCACCTGCATCCCCAATCTCTCTACGCTATTTTTCCTTTCTTCCACTATCTAACATGTGGATAATTATTTTACTTAGTTTGTTGTTAACTATATGTCCCCATGTCCCTAAGGGTGATTTTAACGCAGATCCTATGAAGCCGTGTGTGTAAGTCACTTAGTTGTGTCCGACTCTTTGTGACCCCATGAACTGTAGCTTGCCAGGCTCCTCCATCCATGGGATTTTTCAGGCAAGGATACTGGAGTAGAGTGCCATTTCCTTCTCCAGGGGATCTTCCCAACCCAGGGATTGAACCTGGGTCTCCCGCATTGCAGGCAGACTACCATCAGAGCCACTGGGAACTTTTATGAAGCCCTGAGGATCCCATAAATCTCCCAGGGATCTGCTAAACTCATCAAATATATATGCAATAGTTGTGAACCATGATGTTTTTTAAGTATAAACTAAAACAATAAAACAGTCAGCCATTTTATCAGCAAAATGGGCTTATTCGGGAATAGCAAAGAATAGCAATTTAGGACACATAACTATGGTGAACCACATTCAAGTCCAGGTAAAGCAAAGGAGAGGAAACTCTTTTATAGAGGAGAAAGGGAAGTTGGATGGGTTGTTATAAACAAAAAGTCCATTGGGGGAAACTGGGAGTTTGAAGTATAGTCACTTTTCATTGGCTAGTTTGTGATAGTCTTTCATTGACTGAACTGTTACCACGCAAGGAGAAAAAAAATCTTCCTCTGTGGGAAACCAACGTCACTTCCTGCTGGAGATGCAAGGTATGTCTCTTCCTGTTGGGAAACTATTGATGTCCCAGTGGTACCTTTGTGAGGGCTCCCCTTTCTGGACTCCTGACTCCATTTTAGTGAGGTTTCCCTTTATTAATTTTCAATCAGTAGCTTTCATTAGATTCTCAGACTTACTTGATCCCCAAAGCTTAAAAACCATTTGCAGATCAATATGTGGCACAGAATAGGTGCTCAATAAATATTTGTTGACTAAATTAAAGAACTTTTAAAGCATTATTCACACACACTTTTATAAAAAATTTTATTGATTGATTGATTTGGTTGCATCAAGTCCTAGTTAACAGGCTGGATCTTCATTGCATCATGTGGGATCTTTTTTTTTTTTTTGATGTGGCACATGGAGTCTCTAGGTGTGGCACACAGGCTCAGTAGTTGCAGCTCATGGGCTTAGCTGCTTCTTGGCATGTGGGATCCTAGTTCCCTGAGCAGGGGTCAAACCCCCATCCCCTGCATGGGAAAACGGATAAACCTCTAGACCACCAAGGAAGTCCCTCACACACACGGTTTTTAAAAAAGGAAAACTGACGGCACACTGGCTCCCAAATGTTGGTGTCCTCAGACAACTAAGTCAGAACGAAAGGGTTCCTTTGTAAAAATACAAATTTATTATTTAAAATACCCTCAGAGAGTCTGAGTCAGGGGTTAGGGTGGGGCCAGAAATTCAGGATTTTTCAAAGCCTCCCGCTTCCCCCCACCTCCACACCTCCAAGTGAGTCTGAGGTGCAGCCAGGTGTAGGAATTTCAGTGTGAAATCTTTATTGGAGAGAGATCAGGAGACTCGATTACCGTGTGCAACTTTTAACACTTTTTCAAACACTGTGATCATACCCATGGTCACTTGTGACCTTCTCACAAGCTCTCAGATGACGGGGCAGGGACCCTATAATCTCTCTTTTACTAAGTAGAAAGCTGAGGCCCTGGGGAGCCAAGACAGCCCTGACACTCAACGGTCATACTGCCTGCGGAGATTAGAGATACAGTTAGAACCTGGGCCCCTGGCCTCTCACTCTAGGGTTCTCCCATCTGTGCCAACTGGATAAACCCAAGTTCCAGGAAATGCCAAGGACACCACCAGGGGAGGGGAGGCAGGGAAGGGAGGGGCAGAGTGGCAAACACGTGGAGGGCAAGGTTCGGGAAGTTGTCTCCTGGCCACCAGGAGAGACTCCAGCTGCTCTAAGGACACAGGCAGCCACATGCTAACTCTGGCTGTGTATGACCAAAGGACAATCACTTTCCCTTTAAGTAACTCAGTCTCCTTGTCTGAAAAGTGGGACTGATGACTGTGGCAAATTCTTAAGGAGACTGGAATACCACACCACCTTACCTGCCTCCTGAGAAACCTGTATGCAAGTCAGGAAGCAACAGTTAGAGCCAGACACGGAGCATGCAAATTGGGATAGTAGTACATCAAGGCTGTATATGGTCACCCTGCTTATTTAATTTATATGCAGAGTTGTCGTTCAGTTGCTTAATTGTGTCCAACTCTTTGTGACCCCTTGGACTGCAGCACACTAAGCTTCTCTGTCCTTCACCATCTCCAGGAGTTTGCTTAAACTCATGTCCATTAGGTCTGTGATGCCATTCAATCATCTCATCCTCTGTCACTCCCTTCTTTTCCTGCCTTCAATCTTTCCCATCATCAAGGTCTTTTCCAATGAGTCAGCTCTTCATATCAGATGGCCAAAGTATTGGAGCTTCAGCTTCAGCACCAGTCCTTCCAAGGAATATTCAGGGTTGATTTCGTTTAGGGTTGACTGGCTTGATCTCCTTGCAGTCCAAGGGACTCTCAAGAGTCTTCTCCAACACCACAATTCAATGTATATGCAGAGTTCACCATCCAAAATGGATGCATCACAAGCTAGAATCAAGATTGCCAGGAGAAATATCAACAACCTCAGATTTGCAGATGATACCACTCTAATGGGAGAAAGTGAAGAGGAACTAAAGAATCTCTTGATGAGGGTGAAAGAAGAAAGTGAAAAAGTGGGCTTAAACTAAATATTAAAAAGAATAAGATTATGGCATCAGGTCCCATCACTTCATGGCAAATAGATCGGGAAAAAGTGGAAACATTGACAGATTTTATTTTCTTGGGCTCCTATATCACTGTGAATGGTGACTGCAGCCATGAAAATAAAACATGCTTACTCCCTGGAAGAAAAGCTATGACAAACTTAGACAGTTTAAAAAGCAGAGACATCACCTTGCTGACAGAAATCCATGTAGTCAAAGCTATGATTTTTCCAGTAGTCATGTATGGATGTGATTGTTGGACCATAAAGAAAGCCAAGCACCAAAGTATTAATGCTTTTAAATTGTGGTGCTGGAGAAGACTCTTGAGAGTCCCTTGGATGGCAAGATCAAACCAGTCAATCCTAAAGGAAACCAACCCTAAATATTCATTGGAAGGACTGATGCTGAAGTTGCAGCTCCAACAACTGGCCACCTGACGTGAAAAGCCAACTCTTCAGAAAAGACCCTGATGCTGGGAAAGATTGAAGGCAGGAGGAGAAGGAGATGACAGAGGATGATGAATGGCATCACAGACTCAATGGGCATGAGTTTGAGCAAACTCCAGAAGATAGTAAAGGACAGGGAAGCCTGGTGTGCTGTAGTCCATTGGGTCACAAAGAGTGGGACACGACTTAGTGACTAAACCCCAAGTTAAAACTATTGTTACCAAGGAAAGATACAACATCCCAGAAGATCACCAGAAGATCTCTAGGGACCAAGGTAAATCCAGCCTTTCATTCATTTGAGGTACCTTTTTGAGCTACCTAGTATGCACCAGGCATTTTGCTGGGCATTGTGCACACATTACCTCATTTAACCCTCACCACATCTCAGTGGGATTGGTGCTGTCGTTATCCCCATTTTACAGAGGGAAAAACTGAAGCTCAGAGGAACGAGTGGCAATTCTTTTGATCATCTGTTCATTAACCCAACTTTTACTGAAAACCTGCTCTGGGCCAAGTGCTGAGGACACGAAGCTGAACAAGTCCTTCAGAAGACATGCCTATAAATTACTTTAATAACAACTCAGTACATGCTTCCGCAGACGAATGAGTGGGAGAGAGGGGAGGAGCAGCTGACTCTCCTGGGATTATGGGGAGGGGCAACTAATCTTCCCCGGGGCCCCTGCTCCACTGAGGCGCTCTGCCGTGTGCAGAGGTGGCAGTAAAAAAGCCTGGGTTCGAGGTTCGCTTCTGTCAAGGCTTTGCTGTGTGTTCCTAGGAAACCCTCTCCAGCCACTGAGACTTGCCAGTTTTCTTAATCTGGAAAATTGAGATGTTAAGAGGTTGGGCTTGTGATTCTTGGTTGGGCTTGCAGTTCTGGGGGCTCTAAACCTCTAGACGTCCCACCCCACCTTCTAGCCCATTCAAGCTTGGCCCCAGCCAGACCCAAGACTGAAAATAGAGCAACCAAAGCTGATGATCATTTGAAAAGTGCGGAACGCCCTGCTTCCAGACAGAACTCAAGGCCGGAGGCGTGGCCTGAGGTCCAAAGGGCGAATCTCCGACAGGGGCGGGACTGAGGCCTCCGGGAGGTGCGGCTTGGACCGCCCAGAAGCGATTCATCCAGCCAATGAGCACCTGAGGGCGGATCAGCCCCTCCTCCGAGTATAACAGGGCGCCGAGTCCGGGGGCGCGGCGCAGAGCTCTAGCAGCGCGACCGTGTAGGTGTGCAGGGTCTTTGCTACCCAGAGCTGGGCTGGACAAGCGCTCTGAGTTCTGTGTATACTGGGCTGCGCAGGAACCAGGGCCGGCCTCGGTTTTCCTTTGCCCGGCTGGGCTGCGGAGAGAGCACGAGGCTCGGATCGCTCGCTGCAGAGGAACAGCTGGCCGGGGCCGGGGGACGCGCGCGCTGACCATCGGTCCGCCGCCGGCAGCCGGACCTCCGTCATGGCTGACCACCTGATGCTCGCCGAGGGCTACAGCCTGGTGCCGAGGCCGCCGCCCGCCGCGCCCGCCCACGGCCCTCACGCGCTCCGGACGCTGCAGCCGTACTCGAGCCCAGGCCTGGACAGCGGGTTGCGGCCGCGGGGGGCTCCGCTGGGCCCGCCGCCTCCTCCACAGGGGACCGTGGCATACGGGGCCTTCGGGCCGTCGCCCACCTTCCAGCCCTTCCCGGCTATGCCACCGCCGGCGGCCGGCAACGCGCACCTGCAGCCCGTGGCGACGCTGTACCCAGGACGCGCCACCATGCCCCCCGGCGCCCCAGGAGGCCCCTCAGGCCCGCAGCCCGCACCCGGAGCCCCGGCCCCGCCACTGCAGCCGCCGGCGCACGCCCTGGGCGGCATGGACGCCGAACTCATCGACGAGGAGGCGCTGACGTCGCTGGAGCTGGAGCTCGGGCTGCACCGCGTGCGCGATCTGCCCGAGCTCTTCCTGGGCCAGAGCGAGTTCGACTGCTTCTCGGACTTGGGGTCGGCGCCGCCCGCCGGCTCGGTTAGCTGCTGAGCGAGGCCGGACGCTTGCCCGGCGTGCTCGAGAGAAGGGGCCCAGCCTGCCCGCCGGACTCCGCCCCCAGCGTCTGGGCCCCGCACGCACCCTCCGTGAGGGTGGAGGCCGCGGTGAGTGCACCGAGCCGACGCCGGCCTGGGACGCCTGGCCTCCCTCCAGGCCCTGCCTCCTGCAGGATGACAATTTGAGTTCATCTCTCTGACCCGGAGCCTCAGCGGTAAAATGAAGGGGAAGGAACCCCCCTTTCGGACTCCCAGTTCTTAGATTCTGTATCCTCTCCTCTCGGACTGTCCCTGGCCCCAGCCCCCAGTCTGAGCCAACCCAGGCCTCTGCCTGATTTTCCCCCCTCCTTGTGAAGCCCACTGTGGTCACTGGGTCCCTGGAGCCACCCACCCGCCAGGCCCCTAGCCCCGACACCTGGGCCCTGAGGTCACTGGGCTCTCCGCCCTGGGGAAGAGCAGACGGTCCAGCCCTCACCCCTGTAGAATGGAGCAATGCCCCATCTGGCCTCCAACACCAAAATAAAACTGGGTCACTTTCCAGTCTGGCGTTTTCATTTCCTTATCACTCCAGCTATATTTGGCTTCTAGAGTCCTGAGGCTGCCAGGGGTCCTGGGTGAGATGGAGGCCACAGGCCCTGGCAGTGGCCAGGAGAGGAAACTGACAGTTTCTTTCAAAAATATCTGTGAGTTGTGCAATTGTTCTGTCATAATCTGGAAGGCAGAGGCTGCCGCCACTGGTGGCAAGGTAACCCAAGGGCGCGGAAGGTGGACTCCCTGCTCCTGGGAAGGATGGGGGAGGTGGGGCTTAGGGACACTGCCTCACTGTTCACTCAGCGTGGAGGTCAGAGGGTAACTGGCTGTACCTGAGGGTTCAGGCTCTGGTTTTGAACTGGGACTCTCTCTCTTGTTCATGACGCCATCCATTCAGATTTCTGAAGCCATTTCCTCAGAGACAGATACAGATGGTCCCCGTCTTAGGTGGTGGTGAGGCCCACATGCGATGTGAGACCTTTAGCACAGGGCCAGATACCTAGGCAGCGCTCAGGAAGTGATAATGATGACTACTCCACAACAACAATCATGCCCTCAAGGAGTCACAGTCCAAGTAGGAATAGTAGGCGGGAACAGACCTGGAAAGTTGTCAGGATGAGTTGGTACACGGAAGAGTGGGATGAGGAGTAGGAGTTAGGTAGGACGGCCCAGCAGGCAAACCCGGGGAAGGGAATGGTTTCAGCTGGTGGTGGTGGTGTTCGTGGATGGGTGGCAGGAGTGGTCAGGTCAATTCCGGCTTCAGGAAGGTGGTGACATTTGATGTGGTAAGAAGAGCCTTGAAGGACTTGGAGAAGATGGCATGCAAGTGGAAAGTCCATTCAGAGGCAGGGAGGCATGCATGTACAGGGCCTGTATGGGCAGGCACTGGGTCTCTAGAAAGGTCTATTCGAGTTATGGGGAATGGGGAAGTAGGCACAAACCCTGTTCTACAGACAGGGATGCGGGGCTGGCCCAAACCTGGCAGATTTGGCCTCAGTCCTGACCACCAGCGCTGACTCCTGGTCGCCCCGTGCTGCTGCCTCTCTCTGGAAAGGTCCATAGGTGCTTCAAGGGTGTGGGAGAAAGGCAGGAAGAGAGGAATGGAAGGCAGAGAGGAGAAGCTAAAGACCATGACAGGACAGGGCAGTGGGGCTGGAGAGGAGATAATGGATTCCAGAGACCCTGGGGGGGAAGGAACAGAGCTGTGACCTGTGTCCCATGGGTGACTTTACCTTCACGCCAAGCTTGACACAACTTTCCCTCCAGCCTGGGAGCTCACCCAGCACACATTGTAAAGAGCAGCTCGGGAACCACCAAGACAGGCATGGAGTGGGCCACAGAGGTGTTTGATGGATAAAGTGAAGGTTCCCCCTAAGGTACCAAGGGTGTTCTGGGACAGAATGGGGAGGAGGGCAAGGAGGCTTCTAGGCAGGGACTGGCCTGAGCTCTGAGATGAGAATGGCCAATGTTTGCTCTACTTTGGCCAAGATCCCAGGCCAGAGATAAAAGCCAAAGGGCTGGATTGGGATGGGAGGGCCTGGTCCTGGTCTAGCCTCAATTTCTCCACCAATAAAATAGGGTTAATAACCCTGCCCTACTATTTCACAAAACAAATAAGCCTCATGGTAGGTGGGGAGCAGATTTGGGGTGGGATGATAAGCAGTAGATCAGCTCTGAAGTGCCCGCCATATGTAAGAGGTTACCATGAAAACCCAACACCCACCTCTTCCTAGAGTTAAGAGAAGAAGGAATCCAGCTCCTGAGCGATTTCCCACCCACCATCCCTCCCAGAGGGACTGCTGACAAGTTGGACAGCAGACAGATGGACAGAGGAGAAGGTAAATCTGGGGCAGCCCACCACCTGGATTCCCAAATCCCTGATAACTTTGCAGGATTCTGACCCTCCCAGCTGGAGGGGAAGATGGAGTGTGCTTCCTGCCAGGAGGCTTGTAGTCTAATAGCTTTGGGGTCCATTTCCAGAAGCAGCTCCTACTAGCTGCCTGACCTTCTGAAGTCTTGATTCACCTACAGTTATCCAACCAGCTTCCTGTGGTTCTCACCGCTTCCTGGGGCTACCTCCTAAAATAACCTGTTGCCCCTCCCCCCACCCCCATCCTGTGAATTTCATTCTCCTACGGGGCTGGCTCTTTGGGATTGGGAGACAGGCTCCCTCAGGGTTGGGAACTGACTCATGGCACCGGCAAGACATTATTTCATCTTTTTTTTTTTTCATATGCAAGTCCCCCCAGGCTGAAGTTTGTTATTTTGAATCATCTTTTGGTTGCCTGAATTTCATTAGCAAGTAGTTTTTTCCAAGTATGACTTCTCTCAAACTCATCTACAAAATGGAGATGCCAATAGTACCTCTCTCATAGAGCTGCAGTGATTAAACTAGTTAATTCCCAGGAGGTGTTTAGAACAGTGTAGCTTGTAGTGTATTATCCCTGAGCCCTGGCTTTCTGGGGATACCTTTATATATTAGTGTTTAGAAAGGCTGTGTGGTAACCAGCTAGGACGAGAGGGTACTCCAACATTGTTGCTTATTGGGATTCTCAGTAGCCAAACACCAGTAAACAATGCTATTTATTTATTTTACTTTTTAAGAAGTCTTTACTGAATTTGTTACAGTCTTGTTCCTGTTGTTTATGTTTTGTTTTTTCTTTTTTTTTTTTTTTCAGCTAGTAGGCATGTGGGATCTTAGCTCTTTGAACAGGGATTGAACCCATACCTCTTGATTGGAAGGTCAAGTCTTAATCACTGGGCTGCCAGGGAAGTCCCTCAGATGGTGTTTAGCTTGCAAAAATTTTATCAGGGAAGAAAGGGTCCGGAACAGAAGCAAACAGAGGAAGCTACATGACAGACCCAACAAGAGCCAAACCCACAGGGAGGTTTGGTGCTGGAAGGGCCCTTCAGAGTCCTCCCAACCATTCCACTCCTTTTTACTCCCGCCCCCATCAGTCATGCTTCCCAGGTGGCATTAGTGGTAAAGAACTACCAGTGCAGGAGACATAAGAGAGGTGGGTTCAAACCCTAGGTCAGGAAGATTCCTGGAGGAGGACACGGCAACCCCGTCCAGTATTCTTACCTGGAGAACCTCATGGACAGAGAAGCCTGGCAGGATATAGTCCATAGGGTCACACAGAGTCAGACACGACTGAAACAATTTAGCACGCATGCACGCACCATCAGTCATGGGATGTGGCTGCCCAGGGAAGTGGTGTGGCTGTGGGTGGGGAGCTCTCCCCTGCTGAGCCATCCGTGGGGAAGCTGCTGGGGAAAACACTCTGCTGGCTGCACTCCCAGGGGCCCAGGGGACAATCTGATGGAAGCAGGGACTGGACAGGCCATCACAGTGTCCTCCACAAGCACCAGAGTGGGAACTAGGTGAGGTGAGTGTCATAAGAATGCCTCCTTAAATTTGTCTTTGGGTGCCTTGTCTGCCTCTGCCTAGTCTCAGACCTGACAAGCACCTTCCCTGTTAGAGGGGGGAAAATTCTTTTTAAGGAATATCAACTTTCTAGGGTCGATGTGATGAGATTCTACACAACTTCCTGGTACGTGGTAGGTGCTTGATAGAGAGCTGCCACCATCATCATCATCACCATCAACACTGCCGTCATTCCAGCTCAGCTAAGTGTTCAGCAGACATTTATTGAGTAAATTAAATGAGCAGTCTGAGCCTGGTCTTTTCCCAGGAAGCTTAAGCTGTTTAGCTGATTACTGTGTAATCCCCTTGAACTCCTTAATCCATTCTTGCCTCACTCTATGCCACCCTGCTGTTAAAAGTACTGGGTCAGGATTACTGCTGACTGGGGGACTAAGTCAAACTTACCGAGTGTCTACTGTGAGCAGGCATGATGGGACCTAACAGCACCCACTAGGTACTTTTTCTCTTCTAGCCCCTACTTTAAGTATCACCCAAACCCATGGACGGAGGAGCCTGGTGGGTTGGTCCATGGGGATGCAAAGAGTCAAAACACGACTTAGCGACTAAACAACAACAACAAAGCCTCTTAATATCACCGCTGCTGTGTGTGTGCTAAATACTTCAGTCGTGTCCAACTCTTTGAGACCCTGTCCATGGGATTCTCTAGGCAAGAATACTGGAGTAGGTTACCATGCCCTCTTCCAGGGATTCTTCCCAACCTAGGATCAAACCTGCATCTCTTATGCCTCCTGCATTGGCAGGTGGGGTCTTTACCACTAGCGCCCCCTGGGAAGTCCCAAATAACACCCCTGGGTGGTTGTATTCCCGTTCCAGAGGTTAGAAAATGGTCTCAGACAGTGAATTACTCCTCTGAGTTACACCCCAGTAAGTGATGGGGGTGAGCATGCCCACTCCCACATATCCAGGGCCCTTTCCCTCCCCAGGCTGGGGCTGACCAAATACCTGAGCCTGAATGAGAGAGAGCAGAGCCCCAGACTTGGGGCTGCTACTTCGTGGCCGTGAGATGTAGAAGTCAC